TGACCAAGCTCGCCGCCTCCTGCACCCAAAAATAATAAGACCTCCCCAAAAATAAGGCCAAGTGCTTATTTTGGGAGTCAAAAGAAAATAAGACCCTGTCTTATTTTTGGGGAAACATGGTACTAGAACAGATAGCTCTCTACATGGTACTAGAACGGATGTGTTAGCCCTCTAATAGGAGACTCACAAATAGCATATTGACAGTTCTAGATCCTTAGAACTGTTACAGTACGAGGCCAGAGGATTGCAGGAATCTTTTAATAGCTGTACCATGTTATCTTCACAGCTTCATCTTACCAGTTGAAAATAAAACTGCATTAACTCAAAGGCTTGTTTATTTAATCAGTTGGTGATCTAGGCAAATTCCTTATAATTGTTTACTCAGTTATTTTCTAATATACAGTAACAATTTGTTTCGATTTTCCTTTGTCCTTTTTTCTCTTTCCTTTTTCCCTTGTCTTGTTATATGCTAGATATTATATGTTGAATTATTAAGTCTTTGATTACATTGTCATGTAATACTTCATTCTGAATGTTTATTGAAAAATAAAAACCATGTAACATGTATTCAATCATTAAAAATCTATCCTTTTCTTCAATTGGTAGAAAATGCTACAGAGAGCATTCAGAAAGACAGTTCCTTATGGTACCCAACGAAATGTATGTATTTTGTGTTTTTCACCTTAACATTTTTCCTAGTATGAAAAAAACATGATAAATGGATGATGAAAACACCTGGATCTCTTTACAGACTTTAAAGACATTACAGCCTTTAAAATCTTGTCTAGAATATGCTGTGTTACAAAACATTCTGAAAAATATTTATAAACGTATTAGAAAAATGTTTACAGAATTTAACCTGCATTTAATTTTGCTTATATTGAAATTTATCATCTGGTGTTATAGATATAGCATCTATACGTATAGATATAGTATCCTATATTAAGTATTTATATGTAGGTCAGGAGATCTGACTTATCTAAATTATTTGATCCATATTTAGAAATTGGCTTGCTCAATTCAAATTTCCATTTAAATAAGAGAATATTAACTCCAAATGCATGCCTTTAGAATATTACAGTTTTTTGAGAAACTGAATATTTCTTGATGAACTGAAGAATTCCAGATCCATTATTTTTATGTGGTTCTCTTGTATGTGATCTATTTGGGAGTTGGGACTTGGAAGAGTAAAATTATGTTTCTGTTCTAACAGTAAATATTTTGCTTCAAGAGTTTCCCTTAAATGTCTCCAGCTTTGCTTTGGCATTTATAGAGCAGCAGGATACCATTATCCTATGATAAAAGTCTTTTGCACAGACATGATAGTTTAATTAGAGCAATATGGAAACAACTTTAGTATCTTTGACATAGACTCTGCATAGTGAGTCATTGATATTATAACCAAAGACAGATTTTTGGCATTATTAAGGACAGTAGGAAAAGGATTTAGGAATATAAAATTCTTCTCCATTGAAATGGCAATTTTCTAAACAGATTCTAAACAGATAGACAAGGCCAGGGATTTGTCAGGGCCCCTAACAATGGCAAAAGGTGAAATCCCCAGTAATACTGCCATTAAACTTGGGGCACTCCAATATGTTATTGTGAGATTATGCTTGGTTTCAATAAGAATAATGTGTTTGTTTGTTTGTTTATTTATTTATTTATTTATTTATTTATTTATTTATTTATTTATTTATTTATTTATTTATTTATTT